CTAGTGGTTAGAGCAGGGGGGGTTGGGAGCCAGGACTCCTGGGTTCTCTCCCTGGCTCTGGGAGGGGAGTGGGGGCTGGTGGGTCAGAGCAGCAGGAGCTGGGGGCCAGTACTCCTGGGTTCTAGCCCGGCTCTGGGAGGGGAGTGGGGGCTAGTGGTTAGAGCGGGGGGGCTGGGAGCCAGGACTCCTGGGTTCTCGCCTTGGCTCTGGGAGGGGAGTGGGGGCTGGTGGGTCAGAGCAGCAGGAGCTGGGGGCCAGGACTCCTGGGTTCTCACCCCGCTCCGGGAGGGGTGGGTCTAGTAGTGGTTTTCGCACTGATGGCTCATGCCTGGGGAAGCCCTGACTCCTATATGAACAAGCTCAATTATCCCAGATGCCTCTGACTTGACCTCATGACGCAACGCTGGTGACTCAGGAGCAAAGGTGTATATAGAGCAGGGGGCGCTCTCCCCTGGCAGCCAGGCCTGGCCCCGATGCCCCAGGATGGCACTAGGGGCGCTCTCCCCAGTGCAGCTGCGCTGATCTCAGTCCTTGGGAAGAAAGATTGTCTCTATGCATTTGCGCAGCGCCGGGCACACCGGGGTCACAGTCTCACACTGGGGCTTTCAGGCGCTGTCGTAGGTGGATTGCGGAGCTTACCAAAGAGGCTGAAATGCAGCAAGCTCTGGGGTGGGGCCCCTTGGGAACAGCTGCATAGAACGGTGCCCGGGAACAGCTCGCCCGGCGCTGAGATGCAGCCGCCTCTGGGGTGGAGCCCGCTGCAGCGAACAGGAGGCAGCTGTGCAAGAGGCAGGCCGAACCCGGAGCATTCAAACCTCTTTGGCTAGTTCCCTTGCCCCTTTTGTTGCTAGGATCCAGCGGGGGAACTGCTCACTCCATCAGCCCTGGGAATCCTGCCCTCCATGTCCCCTCTAGAGACTCCCACACACTGCTCCTGACCCCCACCCTATCGCCTTGCCCCAGGGCTAGTGCTGGTCACCCTGCGGAGACTATGGAGCACCTGGGATCTCCTACCCTGTAGCCCATACATTTAAAGAAACACGTATCAGTCGGGGTTAGATCCTGAGAGTCAGGACTCCTGGGTTCTCTCCCCAGCTCTGGGAGAGGAGTGGGGGCTAGTGGGTTGGAGCAGGGGGACTGGGAGCCAGGACTCCTGGGTTCTCTCCTCAGCTCTGGGAGGGAGTGGGGGCTGGTGGGTTAGAGCAGGGAGGTGGGGAGCTGGGACTCCTGGGTTCTCTCCCCAGCTGTGGGAGGGGAGTGGGGTAGCGCAGTGGGTGCTGGGTGCCCGGACTCCTGGGTTCCATTTCCAGTTCTGCCACAGCCTGTGACCTTACAGGGTCACTTCATTTCTCTGACCGCGTTTCCCGGCTGTAAAACAGAACTATCCTGCTTTCATCTGTTTAGACGACAAGCTCTTTGGGCCAGGGACTGTCTCTGATTGGGTCCGTGCAGCGCCCGGCCCAACAGGGCTCCCTGATCTCAGCCGGGGTTGGGCAGCCCCCAGCACGGCAGGGCCCAGCACCTGGCCCACCGGGGTCCCAGTCTCAGGGGTCACCCAAAGCAACCCTTCAGACACCGCGCTTCTGGATTTTTTAAAATCGTTTATCGAAAGTTTAAATGCCAAGAGCATTACAATAAAAAACACAACCGCTTGGAGAGAAA